ACCATTAAATTATAGACTGATCATTTCTTTGTCAGTGGGCACACGTACAAAATCAGCAGGGGATCAAATACTTTTTTCCCTCGCTGTATAAAGCCTCAACAGACCTTTGAGGCGAGTGCTGTTAGCGAGCAGCACCTATGAAGGTCGGCACGACACGCGAGGTGGTGAGTGGCCAACACCACCAGAGGCCGCCTTTGTTTCCCCACTGGTGACATTTACCCTCTGCAACAGGTACTCATTTAAGGCTGGGTCGACCTAGGGGAGGCTCAGGACCAGTTCAGACAATCGTTACTGGTGTTGGCCGTGAGTGGAAATTGAGCCCGGGTCGCTGGGTTCATAGCGCAGCGTGCTTACCGCTACGCCACCGCTCCCCACACACATGAATACATGTACACACACACACACGTGTACACACACAAGTACACACGCACCGACACACTTTATGTATGCTCCAAATGTGGAATTTCCAGAGGTGGAAATTCCACATTTCCTTTCGGGGAACCAGTCTCATCATATATATCCCTAGAGCTCAACTTTAATCATTATGACCAGGCAGGAATTAAAAATTACCTTTCAGCGTTTTTGCATCATCATTATCATCAGCCGTGATTAATCCACTGCTGGATGAGGGCCTCTCACGGTTTCGCCAAGCTCCCTTCCGACCTTGTCAAAAATCCGAGACGCTGCCTTAAATCCCCGAAAGCCAGTTGGTCGACGGGCCACTTCCGGGAATGTCGGGATGAAAAATCGGGCAGCTGGGAAACCCCCCCCTCCACCCCCCTCCACCCCCCCCCACCCCCCGCGCACCTGCAGGTCTGTGCAGCCAGCTGGGGGGGATGTTGAGAAGCAGCTTCTCGACGGTACGCGGGGATACGTGCACCTCCACGCGTTCCACTCCGTCGGTCACGCACAGCACCGCCGGCCTGTCGAGGACATGAGAGGTCAAAGCTTAAATGCGCAGCACCGCGAGATTGTCTTTGGGGGGGGGGGGGGGGTTGGTTGGCCAGGTCATTGACGTTCTGGGCGCAGGTATTTAAGACTCTTCGAAGGTTTACGAATGGACCCCATGCACGTGCTGTATTCTTCTTCCTTGTCTCCGAGATTATAGCTCAGAAGCTCCAGCGCTGAGATTGGGCCTAAATACAAAAACCTATATATTTTGTGAATGGCCTTAAATGATGAATTTCATCACTTTCTCTCGTCACTTTCTCGCATCACATACTCTCTCATCACTTTATCTCATCACTTCACTTCTCTTTCTCTCTCTCTCTCGATGCAATAGTTGTGTAGAGTTTCAAATGCGAGCGGCGGGTAGCGCCGGGAGATCGAATCGGATCGAACTCGTTACCCCTGAATTGCAAGTTCTGGACTTATCATTTAGGCATTCATGGAAAGAGACGGAGTGAGCAATGTTTTAGTAAAACAATGACCCCCCCCGACCCGTATAGCCTTAGCAGACTGTTGGGGCAAGTGCTGTTAGCGAGCACCTATGAAGGCCGGCACGGCACACGAGGGGGGTGGGTGGCCAACACTACGCCCGGCTGCCTGTCTCCCTAGTGGCGACGTTTTTACACATCGCACCAGGTACTCATTTGAGGCTATGTCAACCTAGGGGACGCCCAGGACCGGTTCAGATAATCGTCAGTGGTGTTTTGCCATGAGTGGGAATGGAAACGCGGGGTCGCTGGGTTTATAGCGCAGCGTTCTAATCGCTACACTGCTACCGCTCCCCACACACATACTCACGCACGCGTTCGCACTCAAGCGTCGCTTGAGCAACGGAGCCACAGAGTTGGGTACGGCTCATCTCCCGTTACCGCGCGGAATCACCGCGCGAGATAAACGATGGCCTTTCGTGACATAAGCAGTAATGACGCAGAAATGAGAAACAGATGGCAAGTAATTAGGTTAACATCGATGGAGGTTTCGAATGACAGCGGAATGGAACGGGGAAACGAGACGGGGTAAAGGCTTGTATTGTAAAGGCAGCTCTGACCACGTGGTGTATGTTTTTATTGTTATTATTATTTACAATTTCACTGACGACTGTCGGAAGGGCCAGGTTCTTCTAATCGCATCAGCGTCACCCCACTGGGTTCCCCGCTGGATTCCCCGCCTGGGAGAACTGAACGATGAAGCAGTGTGATGACGGCGCCACCTCGTGGCGACTGCCCAGCCCTGACGTCTGTACGGAGCGCGCATGTAGCTTGTTCAATGATTTTGAACTTCTTTCGCACCGTCCGTAGCTAACCGTGCGAATCGAAGGTGCGGGGGAAGGACAACAAACCAAACACAAAATCCAGTTAAGAGGAAATTAGTTTTCAATCTGACCGAACCAGGGTCAGATTGAAAACTAACCCCCTGCGTAGACCCTTGGGAAGTTGTGATGTGACAGGATTTGTCCAGAGGTTATTGTGGCAAGGTGAGAAGTCCCTACCCACAGACGTCCCGTGCTGTCAACTCCCTGCCCATGTTAAAGCCCAGTCTCAAGACCTTTCTTTGTTTCTCTCAGCCAAAAACGAATGTTACTGCGTCTGTACAGCATACTGAGATACGGTGTTCATTTGGACAGTGCTTAAATCCACGTTGTGATTGTATCGTGAGGTCGGTGGACTGATCATACGGAGCCATTTCAATTGTAGGTGGCGACGATGGATGAGGTTCGAGTTTAAATTTGTTTCACTCGGTGAGAACTCAAAACGACCAGGACAGTCTCATTTGCAAGGATAGCCTTGGGGGCATTCGTATGCTAGAAGATGTTGATGACTGCTGGGGGTGTATGGTCCCAATCGAGTAATCTGCTGGGCGCAATTTTAGAATTCGACCAACTTGAACTCGTGACTGCCAGCACGGTGGACTCGCGAGTGACGTCAGGGGAGGCTTAGGGTTCGCTCTGTGAAGCAGATGGCGGGCGCGCGGTTTTATCGCCACGCAAATTACACCTGCGGTAAATAACCCCGGGAACTGTGAAGCTCTGCCACCAGCGGGGGAGGCGCTCGCTACCCGCTGGGCCGCCGCCACCGCCGCCGCCTCCTCAACGATTGGCGGTGGGAAACGCGACAGCTTGTGCAAACGTTGCACCAGTCAGACTGCCTTGGCTGGCGACCGCACCGCCGATTACGATCACTCGGAAATACAGCACTTGGTTGCGTTACCGAAAACCATTTACAATTAATCAAATATCTATGTCACCTACTTTATATACCACTAGATTATGCTATTTTTTTTTTACCATGTGGTGCCCAGTGAGGTATATAGAGCTCTTTTACAGAAGCCACTTGGCCACAAATGATAGGCTCAACGAAGTTGGTCGTCACGTGGATATTTATACCAGCCAAATACTCTGAACGCATGTTGATTCTAAATGTGGAGGGAAAACTCGGCGGACCTGGAGAGAAATCCACGCGACTACGCGTCGCCGTGGCTACGGAAATGAACATCTCGCCACCGCGGCGTCAATGTATCGATCGCACGTTGACCGTTCCTCTCCACGTAACGTCCGGTGTTCATGAGCAGAATGGGCAAATAGTAACCGTTCAACTACGTAAACGCACTCCTCCATCGACGCTAACGGCTAACGTTTTGGTCGTGCGGTCTGACCGAGTGCCATTAGGGCACAGCACATGCCAATCCCTAGCAGGCTCGACCACGGCAGCATTCCATTCATTAACCACGAAGCGACGATTGGTCGTGCACTAAAATGATTGCCCGAGCAGAAAAACGGACAAACACCGTTCCCCCACCGACCGAGTGCCTCCCCCCCCCCCCGTTCGGTTTTCCCACGCACGGGTAGAAGAGCCGCGTGGCCCTTGGCGCGCAGGGCAGGCACGGCGCCACGACGCCGAGGGCATCCTCCCACAGCTCGCGTCCGCATCCCGCGCAGCCCCGCAGCAGCAGGCCCGGCAGAGCCGCAGCCACGGCGACGAGCGGCGTCGTCGCGTCGACGCGGAGGCCGGCGGGGCGGGTGCCGCCACCGCCGTCTCCGGGCCGCTCCGCTTGACCCCCGGGCTGCCGTCCGCGCGGCGGGCGGCCGGCGCGGAGGAAGAGCAGGGAGGCGACGCGCGCCGTCACCTCCACGCGGCCTGGGGCACGGCAAACGACGCGTGGGCACTGGATTCGCACGCCGCCGCCGCAAGATGTTTTTCTCCCCGCTGCGTGCGTGGGATGTCAGCGTTATGTTATTGTGAGATTGTGGGGGGGGGGGGTGGGTGGGGGAGGGGGGATTTCATTTGGAAAAGTTCCCCAGAAGGCAAAACGTGTCGGATAATAATCCTGAGGTTCGTTTAAGCAGTGTGCTAATCAAGCTGAGATGAAGCATCGTTTTTGCACGCTCCACTACAGTGTTCCTCGGACAGTGATCAAAGCAAAACGTGACAATTATCAGGGCTGGAAGAAGCTAAATTTAGACAAAGGCCCAATTTAAATGAATGTTTATCGTGCCTAATTGTTGCCCAGGCTGAGACCATTAAATCTCTCTAAATTGCAACCTTGCTATAATTCCGGGAGGCTGAACCACGCCAGATTTAAACCCAGGATCCCAGCCGTGTCGGTTCGGTGCCCTGGTGCGACGTTCGCTTGCCGAGCCACACAGCATCAGAAACTTCATTTATACTGGAACAATCCGATGAGCTACAAAGCTCTTTTTCACAGATGCTCACGTCCAATGGCAACTCTTTATTTTCCGAGCGCAAACTCGCATCACCGCCGCTCCTGGCCTCGAAGGGCCACAATCACCAACACCACGAAAGTCACGCCACTGCCGGGCGGCGCGGCGCGGCGCGGCACGTGTGCCACCACCCGGCCCGCTGACCAAACAGCGTAGAGCACCCTTCACCGCCGCCCATCCCGGAGGCGCCCGTTCCTCGCCGGTTCGATGAAGCTAATCCTCCCGCGCGCGGGGCCGGCGGAGAGAGCAAAGGCAACTCGATGGGGATTAGAAACCAAAGCGTCTCCGGTCCCACGAGAGGGTCCCAATAATCAGAGGAAGCCACGGGGCTGCATCCAGGAATCGGCAAGTTACTCCACGGTTGGGGCGTAAGGTGCACGCCGTGGGCCCGATTTAGTTTCGCAAACCTTGGCGCGAGCGTGAAATAACGGGGGTTACGTAAAACAAATATTATTGCCGCCTCGTACGCTCATGCACAAACAGGAGAGAGGGCGCGCGCACGCAACCAGCCGGCTACGGCGGCCTCCCGAACGCCGGTGGCAGGCTTCCTGCCATTGTGGACGCGAGCGACGGCCTTTCTTGACCTGCGCCACTCCGCAACTATCGCCTTGGCGAGCTGTTGGGCGGTGGAACGTCTCCAATTCTCACGGCTTTCTTCCCTACGCTCTCATTCCGTTGCGCGCAATATTAATCAGAAAGGTAAAGGTGCCCTGGTGCGACATTCGCTTGCCGAGCCAAGCAGCATCAGAAACTTTATTTATACTGTGAGGAATCCGCTTTAACTGCTCACTCACACCACTGCTGGTGGACGCCCCACCGCCCACCCCGCCATCTCCGAGAGAGAGCTCAACAAAGCTCCTCTTATGAGACTATTTGGCCTACTCTTCCACGTTGGCCATATGTAGACTTTGGTGAAGGTGGGAGAACCCACACTTCACTCAACCACACACAAACCTCCTGGTCAACTAAACTGTGGTGAACCAATTTATACTGCTGGTTGGAACTTAATAAACTTACCCCTTTGTTTAGACTGAGGTGCCCAAGAGATCAAATTGAACTGGCGACCTCTGGATTGCAAGTCCAGCGTGCTCACCATTACACCACGGAAGCATTCCCGCACCCACCACACACACACCTTCCATCGCAGTCCATTATGTATGGAATCTTATAAGGAGCAGTACTGAGTTGAATTCATTTTAACAAATTCATTTAAAATCTCCGGAGAGAGTCCAGCAGCTGTTCACAATTTAAATGCCTGGGTGCCTCTGTCTAGGATTCCATACACATGCTGAACTCACCCCCCCCCCACACACACACGTGTGGACATACACACACACGTGCACACACAAATACATACACACACATACACGTGCTGAACTCACCCTCCCACACACAGACACGTGTGGACAGACACTAAATGACAAGGATCCCTCCCCGTATAGCCTTAACAGACTGTTGGGGCAAGTGCTGGTCACGAGCACCTGTGAAGGCCGGCAGGGCACACAAGGGGGTGGGTGGCCAGCACCACGCCCGACCGCCTTTGTCTCTCCAGTGGCGATGTTTATAAACACTGCAGTGGCAACGTTAATACACACATACACGTGCACACACATACACGTGCACACCCACATACACGTGCACACACATACACGTGCACACACAAAGACATACACACAAAGACATACACACACACACATACACGTGCACACATACATATGCACACACAAAGACATACACACACATACATGTGCACACACATACAGTGAGGGAAAAAAGTATTTGATCCCCTGCTGATTTTGTACGTTTGCCCACTGACAAAGAAATTATCAGTCTATAATTTTAATGGTAGGTTTATTTGAACAGTGAGAGACAGAATAACAACAAAAAAATCCAGAAAAACGCATGTCAAAATTTTTATAAATTGATTTGCATTTTAATGAGGGAAATAAGTATTTGACCCCTTCTCAATTATAAAGATTTCTGGCTCCCAGGTGTCTTTTATACAGGTAACGAGCTGAGATTAGGAGCCCACTCTTAAAGGGAGTGCTCCTAATCTCAGCTTGTTACCTGTATAAAAGACACCTGTCCACAGAAGCAATCAATCAGAATCCAAACTCTCCATCATGGCCAAGACCAAAGAGCACTCCAAGGGTGTCAGGGACAAGATTGTAGACCTACACAAAGCTGGAATGGGCTACGAGACCATTGCCAAGCAGCTTGGTGAGAAGGTGACAACAGTTGGTGCGATTATTCGCAAATGGAAGAAACACAAAAGAACTGTTAATCTCCCTCGGCCTGGGGCTCCATGCAAGATCTCACCTCGTGGAGTTGCAATGATCATGAGAACGGTGAGGAATCAGCCCAGAACTACACGGGAGGATCTTGTCAATGATCTCAAGGCAGCTGGGACCATAGTCACCAAGAAAACAATTGATAACACACTACGCCGTGAAGGACTGAAATCCTGCAGCGCCTGCAAGGTCCCCCTGCTCAAGAAAGCACATATACATGCCCGTCTGAAGTTTGCCAATGAACATCTGAATGATTCAGAGGACAACTGGGTGAAAGTGTTTTGGTCAGATGAGACCAAAATGGAGCTCTTTGGCATAAACTCAATTCGCCGTGGTTGGAGGAGGAGGAATGCTGCCTATGACCCCAAGAACACCATCCCCACCGTCAAACATGGAGGTGGAAACATTATGCTTTGGGGGTGTTTTTCTGCTAAGGGGACAGGACAACTTCACCGCATCAAAGGGACGATGGACGAGGCCATGTACCGTCAAATCTGGGGTGAGAACCTCCTTCCCTCAGCCAGGGCATTGAAAATGGGTCGTGGATGGGTATTCCAGCATGACAATGACCCAAAACACACGGCCAAGGCAACAAAGGAGTGGCTCAAGAAGAAGCACATTAAGGTCCTGGAGTGGCCTAGCCAGTCTCCAGACCTTAATCCCATAGAAAATCTGTGGAGGGAGCTGAAGGTTCGAGTTGCCAAACGTCAGCCTCGAAACCTTAATGACTTGGAGAAGATCTGCAAAGAAGAGTGGGACAAAATCCCTCCTGAGATGTGTGCAAACCTGGTGGCCAACTACAAGAAACGTCTGACCTCTGTGATTGCCAACAAGGGTTTTGCCACTTATTTCCCTCATTAAAATGCAAATCAATTCATAACATTTTTGACATGCGTTTTTCTGCATTTTGTTTTTGTTATTCTGTCTCTCACTGTTCAAATAAACCTACCATTAAAATTATAGACTGATCATTTCTTAGTCAGTGGGCAAACGTACAAAATCAGCAGGGGATCAAATACTTTTTTCCCTCACTGTACACGTGCACACACACACATACAAGTGCACACATACATGTGCACACACATACACGTGCACACACAAAGACATACACACAAAGACATACACACATACACGTGCACACACATGCACGTACACACACAAAGACATACACACATACATGTGCACACACATACACGTGCACACACAAAGACATACACACACATACACGTGCACACATATATGTGCACACACAAAGACATACACACACATATACACGTGCACACACACAAAGACATGCACACACAAAGACATGCACACACAAAGACAGACACACACATATACACGTGCACACACATAAACGTGCACACATAAAGACATACACACACAAAGACATACACTATACACGTGCACACACATGCACGTGCACACACAAAGACATCCACACATGCACCACTGGGCTCGAGCTCTTTGGTATAGTGACAATTTATGAAGAGAATGTGTCGGATTGGATGTTAAGACACAAACGAGAGTAATAATATAATTGGTGGCTTTGCAGGAAAACATTTAACATCTAAGAAATAGAGTGAATTGTTAAGTCTGACTAAAGACCACAAATAAGCCACAGAAGACATGTAATGCCATCTGGCTTACCTTCCAAAGAACTAACTAAACACACATGAAATATTATCTAACTCTTCAACGCAGGTTTAGCAAAAGACCCGTGCGGCCTCCAGCGGAAATTACTTTCAGGCCAGCATCAAGAAAACTGTATTTTAAATACCGATCATCAACCTGTGTTTCTCCACTTGGTGGCTTCACGATGGCCTGGCATACAATGAGTCACATCCCTGGCAATGAGACAAATCGTCACAATCTGTTCGATGCATAAATGAATAAACACTCCTTTAATTGACGGAAAAATCTTGATATATAGGGGACTGCAGAACTTGGGCAATTGCTGGCGCAGGCTCACCGCTCGTTTGTTGCCTACCAGCTTGTCTGGTTCCACGGCGATTGTGAGATCCACTTTTCATGAAGTACGAGAGAGGTTAGAGAGGTGGAGACTCTATGCTCTGTGACGTAGGGCCAGTGCCCGAAACGTCACCTATTATTATACAGAGATGATCTCTACATAATAACAATGTGCTTGTTTGCCTGTCTGTCTGTGACGCACCGGGATGACGTCACACGAGATTGGGGCGAGGGGGAGGGGAGGGGGCGATGACATCACGCGACGCGGAGAGGGCGAACGGGGGTTGCGACGTCACGCGACACTGGGGAGGTGAGGGACAGGTGTGATGACGTCACGAGACGCTGGGGAGGTGAGGAACAGGCGTGATGACGTCATACAAAACTGGGCAGGTGAGGAGAGGGGTGATGACATCAAGAGACATGGGAGTGGTGAGCAGAGGAGGGGGGGAGGGGTTATGATCTCACACAACACTGGTGGGGTGATGGAGATGGAGTGATGAGCAGCCAAACCCTGCGTCCTGGCGGGGGTGGGGGGAAGGGGTGGGTGCCTAAACGGAAAGAGACGGCGCCTAGAGAAGATGGGGTCTCACCAGGTAGGGCTGGGGCCTAAGAATTAAGGGGGCAGTTCATGAAGAGGACTCGGGTGGGGCATCAAGCGGAAGGAGGTGAGGCCTAAAGAGAAAGGGCCCACAGGGATTGAACTTCCCCGATAATTTCAGGCCATCGACGCGTAGAATCAAATACGTGCAGCGGTCAGCGTACGTCTGGTGCCACAGATGCGGCCGCAGCAGGCCGGCTAGTTTGATGATTATTAAATTCCACCCGCATTGTGGTTGTCTACGATGCTGGAGATCTGACAGCAACCCTTCCCCCCACTCCGACTGGCTCGTCTGTAGAACAGTGAGCGTTGTGCATGGTGCCAAATGATTTTAGCTTTCACTCCCCGGCCACCTTGGAGTTTGCGGTGTCTCTCTCCTTGTGGTCGCGTGGATTTTTCTCCAGGTCCTCCGGTTTTCCCTCTACATGTAATAAAATGTGTTGAGTATTTGGCTGATATAAATGTCTCCATGATAAGCCACTTCGTTGGGCTATCATTTGTGGCCAGGTTGCTTCTGAAAAATAAATTCATACCGCAGTGGGCTTTACCTGGTTAGATACAATTTTTGTTTTATTTGTATATTTTTAAGCGATTTGTTTACCTTTGCTAGACTTTGCACTCCTATCGTGTTTTTGTATTATTTATTGTTGGAACGTCCTTACTCGCCCCGACCGGACATCTTTGAAAAAGAGCTTCACAGCTCATCGGATTCCTCCAGTATAAATATTCGGATTCACTCGCTCGTCTGGAGAAGAGCGAGCACTGCGCACGATGCCAAATTATTTTAGCTTTCACTCCCCCGCCGCCTCCTCCGCCCCCTCGCCAGCCTACCTGTGATGTGAGCGGCGAGCAGGCCGGCCAGGCTGGAGGGCCGGGCGACGGCTCCCTCGGGCACGAGGTCGGCGCAGAGGGCAGCTCTGGGGTCGTCGGGGAACAGGCGCTCGCACGACGAGAGCGGCGTGCTCCACAGCTCTATCTCCGTGGCGACTGCCGGGTCTTTGCGCACCACCAAGTAGTGGAAGGCCCAGATGGTGTCTGTAGAATTAATGTAATAATAATAATAAAAACAAGTATTAAATGACTAACATTTTATACCATTCGGATGGGCCTACGCACTTCAAAATTAACTTACCATGAGGAGGGGGCTCTAAGGGAAAACGAATTCCCTCACCTTGGCAATGTCGTGGTCTCTCTCTCGTTCATTGCTACCGAACGTGGCGATGGAGCCAGTGCTACCACTAGAGGGCGCGCGTCGCCCTGACGAGGGGGGCTTCCTCCTTTGTCGACGGGGGGGACGACGTTGAGCTCAGCGGTCAACTCAATCATCAAAGCCGCAGCCATTTATACAAATGCACGTTACATTAGACATGTCTGGGTATTGGCTGTGAAAGTGCACAAAGACAGTTCGTATCTTCTTCTCCCAAGCACTTGTCCCACTAGGCGTGAAGGCCACGTCCGAGTCCTCTCCATATTTCTCTGATCCATCGCCACCTCCAAAGAAAAAAATATTGAAAAATAACTTGATAGGCACCGAGGCTCCCACAAGGCCATGCGGGAGGGCGTGTGCCACAGTTTGGCGTCGGCTATCATAGAGTGCGGTCGTGTCGCTACAGTTCTCTGCGGTGAGTCCAATGTCTTTAAGAACGGCGCCGTTACGCCCCTCAAAATAAAAATGAACGCTGAACCGCTTTCGCGCTTCCAAGAATAATCGGTGAACGGGACGCACCCCGCAGCTCTCGGAACGGGAAAGGGTTAAGTTTCAAATGAAATCCCAACTTGAAGCAATCAGCCGTGTTTAGGTGACAAAATAAAACTCCAGGTTCGACGTAAAGGCGAACTACGCCTGTGATTAGCCACTTTGCTGAGCTGTCATTTTTGGCCAAGTCACTTCTGAAAAATAACTAATACCTGGGTGGGCCTTACCTGGTAAAATAAAAGATGCTCTTTGGTTCTTTCGGTAAAGCCACGTAGGTATAAAATAAAAATAAAAATCACGACGTTTCGGGAGCAACACAAGCGTCCATCATCAGGTGGGAAAGCGTGGTCTGCTGCTGATGCAGACTGTTTTATACCTACGTGACTTTACCGAAAGAACCAAAGAGTACGGATTCCTGCAGTCACGAAAGCTTCAAATCAAGATTAAAATAAAAGATAGTTTAACTTTAGTTCATTTATTTGGAGTGATTTGCTTCCCTTTCCGATACCCTGGACTCCCATCGTTGTTTTTGTTTCGTTCGTTGTTGTTGTTACTTTCTCACGCCATGCACCCCCTACTGGAAATCTGTGAAAAAGGAGCTTCATAGCTCATTGGATTTCTCCAGGATAAATAAATCTTCTGATTCTGAATATTTATTTGGAGGGGGGGGGGGGGAGAGAACGCGATCGTGGTGCTACGTTTCACCAAGGGGCGCTCTGCGGATGTGCCCGGCCCACGACGCGGCCTGGCCCGTCAGCTGGAGGGTGTGCTCCACCCTGGAGCTCTGTTGGAGCCTCGCGGTGGCCACCAGTCGCCCGTAGCCGGCCTGCGCTCTTCCGTTCAGCGTGTACGGGTCCCACTCTGCAGGGATGGGAGGGAGGCGGGGGAGCGGGTAGGAAACGAGAAACGTTTGCTACGTTGATGACTCGTTTCCTCTGCAACGTATTGTCTTTTGAGCAGCGTCATAACTGCGTCTGTTGGATGCAACATTTCTCATCCACCTTCTGTTCCTAACGCCGCTCAACTCTGAAATTCCCCTCCAGTCACCCATAATAAAGGGCGTTTTGGTTAAATCCACCACCGCCCGAGACAGCCAATGAGAAAGGTTTGTCACGTAAACGAGACCGAAACCAGAGGCCGTCGTCACAATTCTGGATGTCGCCCGATGATGATAGTTGTTGTGATCACCAGCGAAATGACGTACTCGAATTGTAAAATGTTGTGGGTTTACTCTCTAACACACCGGTGTGCTGAACTAGTATCAAATTGGCACGTTTTGTTCACGTGGCTGTGTTGGGTGGTGGCGGGTGTAACGACACATTTATATTTAAGCGATATAACCTCAAAACTTTTTTGTTATGGATAATATTGGTCGCGAAAGCCTACGTGTTAAACTCCCTCCAATTACCTCATTAAACCTGCATATCTAGTGCCCGAGTACAGAAAATGCACGTAAACCCCAACGGACAGCGATAGTCATACGATCCGAAACGGTTTAGGTCAAAACGTGAAGTATTTGCCAACGTCGTGGCCAGATCGCAACGCGTGCCACCGCACTACACCAATCAGCTGCCAGGAAGACAACCCCCATGCAACATGGCCACCGCGTAGTCCCCATGCAACATGGCCACCATCACATCGTCGCTCCCTGTGCTTCAGCCAGTCTGTGGTGAGGTAAGTATATTTGTATCGCTTATGATATTTGTTATTAATGTAATTAATATTATTAACGTCTGCGTGTCTCCCTCCCCGTGGTTGCGTAGATTTTTCTCCGGGTCCTCCGGTTTCCCACCCCCCCCCCACCACATTTTAGAATCGACGTGCGTTTAGATTATTTTGGCTGCAAAACATTTTCACCTGCTAAGCCACTTCGTTGAGCTATCATTTGTGGCCAGGTCGCTTCTGAAAAAGATCTACAGAGCTCAGTTGGCATTGCCTGGAAAAAAAAAGGAAAATAATAAGAAAGAGGGGAAGTCACCCCAAAAGATTAAGATAAAGATCCCCTATATAGCCTTAACGGACTGTTGGGGCAAGTGCTGTTAGCGAGCACCTTTGAAGGCCGGCAGGGCACACGAGGGGGTGGGGGTAGTCAGCACCACACCCGACCGCCTTTGTCTCCCCAGTGCCAATGTTTTTATACACCGCACCAGGTACTCATTTGAGGCCGAGTCAACCTAGGGGAGGCCCAAGACCGGTTCAGATAATCGTCACTGTTATTGGCCGTGAGCGGGAATCAAACTCGGGTCTCGAGGTTCGTAGCGTGGTATGCCAACTGCTACACTGCCGCTCCTCGTGGAAATCAGCTCCGTACGGTGCCACACAGACGCACACACGCTACCGCCGTTCATCAGCGAGGCCGGCCATTGCTGAGCCATCAAATCGAACGGAAGAATCTTGACACTCCCAGCGACAGCTCGATCGGCAGGATGCACTTCCCCCCTTCGTCCTGTTTACCCGCATGTGGCGCTTGTAACTCAGCAGCTGAGCCACAATCGTTCTCTCCCTCTCTCTCCCAGCACTCACAATGGTAGCTAAAAATATCGCCGAGTTAAACTCGGCTGCCCAATGCCTTTGCGGAACTTGGAAATAAATCAAAACTCAATAACACTATCCTTTTGCTTATTTGACAGAAAAAGTAATGACCTTTCTGTACAGTGTACAGCAAGGCCCAGACTGGCAGTCCACACGGCAAATGCCCGGTGGGCCGGTCAATTCCGAGGGCTGGTGGGCCGTTCTGTGTGAGAAAATTGGAACTGTGATCACAGTAAAAGAAAAATATTTGTAATTAAAATATTTCATTACAGATGCATTGCTTATCTACACTCTCAGTTGGCATTAAGTCCCCATATTCGGCAGCCCCAAAGATTCACCCTCACCGGCCCATTTGGGCTCGGTGTGTTTACAAATGGCCGGGTAGATGTTTTTTGTCCCAGTCCAAGTCACTGATATATTAGGCACCTCTGTTAATCCTGCACTGAACGAAAGCCTAAGGCCTCCCCGTGCCTCGTTCATCGTGAGGGGTTGTTTGATCATACACGTCCACGCTGATCAGTGCAGGTCAACACGTTGGGGGACAAGGGGTTCGGGCTCCGGACTGGTTTTGGACATTACAAACCACGTGGCCGGGAATTTAACTCAGGTTGCTGGGTTCAGGGTGCAACCGCATTCGGCACCACACAATCGCTCCACTGCCCATTACATTTTCAGAAAACTGCGATCAAAATGTGATGCGCAGTTAGAGCGCGTGACAGCTTCACCGTGGGTGGCAAAAAAACACACACAAAAAAGGGGGCGCGAGAATTGATTAAAAAAAAACCCCCAAAAAAACTACAGATCCTGCTCACTGAATCTGATTGCGAGCACAATTTACAGCGAGCCTTTTCGCAAGACGCCGCCGCCTTCAAGGTTATGAACAGAACAGGATTCATCACGCGTTAAACATCGCTTTTTTTTTACGTACTGCTTAAAATTCCGAATGTGTAACGGCGGCCTTGCATGGGAATGCTACGGCGCAATAAATCACACGCTCATTACTCTGCAACGGTTTTCCCATCATTTTGCACCCTCCCGGCAATTATCACCGCAGACCAAGCGGCTATTTTTGTTGCGTTCCCTCCCCTCTGCAGACGCCAAAATGCTCGCTGCTGCCAGAGCGCACGCCGCAGACACTGTACGCCTTTTGCAAGTGTAAAGCCGTTTTTGTAAATCGAGTGCTGAATGAGGATGGCCCCGCACGCCCGTGCGGGCAGTGGGAGATATTTGACCGTACTTCACCACGTCGGTCAATTGGCAGGATTCTTTTGCCGCACTGCCCTCTGCTGCCCAAACTGTAACGCAGCCCCGCACGAATCTGAATATTTGATTTTTACTGGATGAATCCGATGAGCTGTAAAGCTCTTTTTCACAGATGTCCAGTAGGGGCGGGTAAGAATGTTACAACAAACAATACAAAAACACGATAGGAGTGCAGAGTACAGGAAAGGCAAACAAATCACCCAAAAACGTACGAATAAAACGAAACCAATCCCATCCTTCCAGGCAGAGCACACCGAGATATTAACACCGACGACAAACTGTTTGTGCATGATGGGTCACGGACCGATCCGACAATTATCCAGTTTCAGACCTGCTTTAGCTTCCGAGATCTGATGAGACTGGCCGAATTCCCGGTGATGTGGTCAGATTCGAGATAAACCCGACGTATTTCGCTGTGTGTATCCCCGTGTGTCAACTTGCGCGTGTGTGGTGGAACGTTTTTTAGAGTGGCAAGCAAACGCAAAGCCAGCAACGCGAGCTCGATTCCCGGGCCACAGATAAGCGGCATCCGAATACGGTCCTGGACCACGCCTAGGTCAGCTCGGCATTAAATTGCAACCCTAAAACAGTCCCGCGGAGACAAAGGTGGCAGGGCTAGCGCAGCGATCGCCCCAGGACCTCCGTGTGCCTTGCGCTGGCCTTAATAGATCGCTCGCTGACGCCACTTGTCGCAATACCTCAGGTTATTAAGTCCTTTTTTACGTGTGCAATTAAAATGTGCTTGCAATCATTTTGAAAATGGAACGCCACGCTTGGACACTAACTGTACTATGGTGGTCGTGTCACAAGAGGAAGACATTTATTTATGGCTCTTCTCCAATTCGCAAAGCCTCACGTTGTGTGGGAATGTCCACAGAAGCCATTACAAATTAGCCCCTTGACAGCCAACGCTAGATGGCGATCTTTCCCGCGAATAGCGATTCAATCTACTTAAAATATTCTTGGTTCTTTCGCTAAAGTGACATAGAAGGGAAATAGTAAAATAACAAAAATAAAACAATAAAATTCTCACGACGTTTCGATTTCAACACAAGCAATCATCATCAGGTGTGAAACCGACAGCAAGTTTGATCATTTTATTGTTTTATTTTTATTATTTCCCTTCTACGTGACTTTACCGAAAGACCCAAGAATATGAATCCCTGCAGTCACGAAAGCTTTAAATCGAAATCTATTTAAAGTAATTCCCCCGATTTAAGTCTCCCCCCTTTTACGCAAATACGTCGTAACTTTATCATTAACACCGCTACACGACTTTCATCGCCTCAACCCCCACTCTCACGTCGCCTCAGTCTTCGCCTCCACCAACCCTGTACACGAACTACTGCGTATCGTACGTACAGAACTGTACCGTGCTGTAGATTACAACGTATGATTCACGTACGGTATTTTGGTGATTCGGGAAAAAAATTGCTTTGATTTACGTCGTTCCGATATTTGTTGCACCGTAATTCAGGAACGTATTTCCGGCGTAAACAGGGGTATGACTGTATACGGCGAGATGCTAACTACCTCGGCTATTAAACAGAAGGCTGCGGGTTTGATCCCGACCCTGATTGCTACTATAATGAGCCAAGGATGTCTGTTTGTGTGTAACGCGTGTGACGTCACTCCACATGCCCCCACCCCCGTCTTTTAATATTCATGAGCGGGTGGATTTTTTTACATTCACGCTTAAGAAGGTCGAGCGGAAATTTTTTTTTTTCCGCAAATTCGCTTTAAGTTTGACGTTTCTTTATTGAAAGGTAAATCTAATAAATAATTCCACGCAGCAACAAAGTGGATTTGGTGTCTTTGTAGTGTTGACAAAGTAGGCAGAGACTTCGTCTTTGTAGGCAACACCGTTTATTCACTCTAACGATAGAGAACGTCCCTAACACAGAGAGGTAACGGCCTCTCCCACCCGATAGCCTAGATGATACGTCCTCACTCTTAGTGTGCCCTCACACTATACTCTGCTATCGGGAATTCCTCCGCTAAGGGACCTAGGGGAGGCCATGCTCACCCGACCTTGCCAGGGTAACGGGTGCCGCCACTGGGCCGTTCGGACCTGGCACTGACAAGGGCCGGGGGTCGGAAGTCCCAGGGCGCTATCTCGATGTCTTCGGGTCTTGAGGTGAGTGCGGACTGACTCACGCTGGGAGAGCTGCTGCCCTTTATATCCTTCCTCTCTCCCAAACGTCCTCTCTCTCCCGAGGGTCTGGGTCTGACCGTTGCCCCCCCCCCAAATCCCTCCCTCAGTGGGCTCTGGCCCCCTCACCCCTGGTCAACGTTTATTGTAGTCGTGGGTCGTACAACTGTCACTCAACAGCCCCCTTGGCTGTTCTGCGCCCCCTACACAGAGGGCGCCACTAGAGATGAGTGTACGTGACCCATACAATACTGCTACGCAGGTAAGCACACATGTTGCACGTAACAATGCACTTCAGACAAAAGGTAAGTCTAATTTATGCTTCTACATTATGGTAAAAATAGACATTTCTCTGTGATTTTCCAGATATTGTATCGAATTATAATTTATTTCAAACTCAGCGACCGAATGCAGAAGAGAAAAAGTATCAAAGCAGTGAATTTGAACAAATTGAAGGTCAGTTACATAGTGCTACAGTGAAATGCAGTGAAGTGTTTGATGACATACTTTCGTGCAAGATTCACTGCCATTAAATTTACACAAGATACAATTATACTCTGCTCAATTGCTTCGTAAATATTACAACTTCCATCCTAGGACGGGCAAACCAGCTAGTGCCTATATATTTGGAGTCTGCATGTCTCTCTCCCCATTGTCGTGTGGATTTTTATCCGGGTCCTCCGGTTTTTCCCTCCACATTTATAAACAATGCGTTTAGAGTATTGGGCTGCAAAACATGTCCACATCACAAGCCACTTTGTTGAGCTACCATTTGTGGCCAGGTCGCATCTGAAAAAGAGCTATATAGGTCAATGGGCCTTACCTGGTAAAAAAAAAAAAGTTTTGTTGAATTAGTTTAAAATATCCTGAGTGAAAAACCACAGTGGGGAAAATTTATCTTGAATGGTCAATTCTATTCCTGCGCATGATGGCATTGTGTTCAGGAGCTAAATTTTCAAGTTGAGGTCGGCGAGCCACGATGAGTAGGCCTCAGCGGGGTACCTGTGCCTCCTTCAGTGAATGAGTGCAGACTACAGTGGTGGACTAGATGGCCCACAGTTTGTGTTGCATGGCCGCAATCACACTGCTGTGGATTGTCTTCCATGAAGAAAGCACGGAGACCATCAACTCCGCACAATTCAGAAAATGGTTTCATTGCAGGCAATTGGAACCAGAATTCAAACACAACACCTCAATGTCGCTTTCTCGAAGTCTCTAGCACAGCCATTGTAAGCCCTCTCGGCCAAAGTGCCAACTGCTGTCATATAAAATATATCCCCAGAGTGTCTACCCGTTTCTTCATATTACCCCCATGGCAATGGGGAATCATCCACCGCTCACCCCACTGTTCAAGAGGCAAAAACAGTGACTTTGACCTTGACCCGATGACCTCACCTGTGCGTGTGACGACGCCGGTAACCCGGCCGGCGCAATGGAGGATGGAGTCGGGCTCAGAGGTGCGCGGGTCGCGGTAGCGCACGCTCGACGTGTGAGCCAGGCCCAGGCGAGGCCCCACCACTCCCAGGTGCGGGTGGCGCTCCGACAGGTGGCGCAGCAGGGCGTCCAACTTGCGCACGTCCACCACCTCCCGCCCTGCCGCTCGTAGCGAGACCGGCGCAACGTGGGCGTGCGTGTTAACGGGACGTTAGCGGGACGTAAGCGGGACGTTAACGGGACGTTAGTGGGATGTTAACGGGACGGTAGCGGGATGTTAACGGGACCTTAGCGGGACGTAAGCGGGACGTTAACGGGACGGTAGTGGGATGTTAACGGGACGTTAGTGGGATGTTAACGGGACGTTAGCGGGATGTTAACGGGACGTTAACGAGACGTTAGTGGGATGTTAACGGGACGTTAGTGGGATGTTAACGGGACAGTAGTGGGATGTTAACGGGACGTTAGCGGGACGTTAACGGGACGTTAGCAGGATGTTAGCAGGACGTTAGTGGGATGTTAACGGGACGGTAGTGGGATGTTAACGGGACGTTAGCAGGATGTTAACGGGACGTTAGTGGGATGTTAACGGGACGTTAGTGGGATGTTAACGGGACGTTAGTGGGATGTTAACGGGACGTTAGTGGGATGTTAACGGGACGTTAGTGGGATGTTAACGGGACGTTAGTGTGATGTTAACGGGACGTTAACGGGACGTTAGCGGGATGTTAACGGGACGGTAGTGGGATGTTAACGGGACGGTAGTGGGATGTTAACAGGACGTTAGCGGGACGTTAGTGGGATGTTAACGGGACGTTAGTGGGATGTTAACGGGACGTTAATGGGACGTTAGCGGGATGTTAACGGGACGATAGTGGGATGTTAACTGGACGTTAGTGGGATGTTAACGGGACGTTAGTGGGATGTTAACGGGACATTAACGGGACGTTAGCGGGATGTTAACGGGACGGTAGTGGGATGTTAACGGGACGGTAGTGGGATGTTAACAGGACGTTAGCGGGACGTAAGCGGGACGTTAACAGGACGGTAGTGGGATGTTAACTGGACGTTAGTGGGATGTTAACAGCACGTTAGCGGGACGTTAGTGGGATGTTAACGGGACGTTAGTGGGATGTTAACGGGACGTTAACGGGACGTTAGCGGGATGTTAACGGGACGATAGTGGGATGTTAACTGGACGTTAGTGGGATGTTAACAGGACGTTAGCGGGACGTAAGCGGGACGTTAACAGGACGGTAGTGGGATGTTAACTGGACGATAGTGGGATGTTAACAGGACGTTAGCGGGACGTTAGTGGGATGTTAACGGGACGTTAGTGGGATGTTAACGGGACGTTAATGGGACGTTAGTGGGATGTTAACGGGACGATAGTGGGATGTTAACTGGACGTTAGTGGGATGTTAACAGGACGTTAGCGGGACGTAAGCGGGACGTTAACGGGATGTTAGCGGAATGTTAACGGGACGTAAGCGGGACGTTAGTGGGATGTTAACGGGACGTTAATGGGACGTTAGTGGGATGTTAATGGGACGTTAGTGGGATGTTAACGGGACGTTAGTGGGATGTTAACGGGACGTTAGTGGGATGTTAATGGTACGTTCACGGGACGTTAGTGGGATGTTAGCGGGACGTTATCAGGATGTTAACGGGACGTAAGCGGGACGTTAGTGGGATGTTAACGGGACGTTAACGGGACGTTAGTGGGATGTTAACGGGACGTTAGTGGGATGTTAATGGTACGTTCACGGGACGTTAGTGGGATGTAAGAGAGACGTTAGTGGGACGTAAGCGGGACGTAAATGGGACGTTAACAGGATGTTAACGGGACGTTAACGGGATGTTAACGGGACGTTAATGGGATGTTAGTGGGATGTTAGCGGGACAATAGCGGGATGTTAACGGGACGTTATTGGGATGTTAATGGGATGTTAGTGGGATGTTAACGGGACGTTAGTGGGACGTTAACAGGACACTAACGGGATGTTAACGGGATGTTAACGGGACGTTAGTGGGATTTTAGCGGGATGTTAGCGGGATGTTAACGGGACGTTAGCGGGATTTTAGCGGGACGTTAGCGGGATGTTAGAGGGACGTTAGTGGGATGCTAGCAGGATGTTAACGGGACGTTAACGGGACGCGCCGCGCAGTGCCGTGGGCCCCGTCGGTAGGAAATAAATTGGGGACCCTTTTCAGACCCCTCTCTCTCTTCATTTAAAAAAAAAACTATTTAAATATTCTATTTTACCAGGAAAAAGCCCACAGAGCTATTTGGTAGGACCCATGCAAATACAACCACGTAACTTGGATCAAATTGTCAGGAAATCATCAACTGCATGAAATGTAACGCAACGCGATTTGCGAATGTGTGCGAGTGTGCGTCGCTCACAGTGGGAGGCTTGCACCAGTGGCCACAGCCCAAGCTTGAGCATGCGGCTCGCTGGGCTCAGCTGCAGTACCTCCTCCTGCCTCCACGTGTCCATATGGGGGCAAACGTCTGGGGGGAGGGGGGGGAGTGGGCAGGCGAAAACGAGAGGGGGGGAGGGGCGACGGAAGGGACATTTATTAAAAAAACTAATCTACATTTTTTTTATTTGACCATGTAAGGCCCACTGACCTATAGAGCTCTTTTTCAGAAGTGACCTGGGCCACCAATGACAGTTCAACGAAGTGACTTATCACGTGTAACTTGATAGCAGCCAAATACTCGAAACGCATTTTTCTAAATGTGGAGGGTGAAACAGGAGGACCCAGAGAAAAATCCACGCGTCCACAGGGAGAGAGACATGCAAACTCCAAATATACAGGCTTCAGGGTCGGGATCGAACCCACAAACTCCTGCAGACCAGGCGAGGGAGTTAACATCTCACCACTGTGGCACAAAGAACCTGCAACGCATTTAGGTAATAACGATGCAGCTATTAAATAATTCACCATCGGCTCTGGCTAACGCTTTGGCAAAATCCGGTACGGCAAAACCCCCCATTTACGTCTCCCCCTTTAACGTGGTCTCGCAAATACGTCGTCACTTTGTTATTAATCCCGTTGCCTGATTTGCTTCGCCTCAAACCCACAAGCATTACCTCCGGTTCCCGCGGTTCGCTACGTACGGTGCGAAAGAAGTTCAACAAACAAACTGGAAGTATAAAAAAATTACCTCGCGGTATGTGTGCTGACTTTTGGGCTACCCTGTATAATCTATATATCAACGCACTTGCCAACAACAGTGCCTTGAAAAAAAGAAATATATAATTGGTGACATTTCAGGCAATGGCCCTGCTTGATAGGGCAACATGAAGTCGGGTCATTTCCTGAAACGTCGCGAACTATATATTCTTTCCTCTTAATGAGTGCGTTGAATTTTTTTGTTGGTAAGTGTGCTTCTGCCCCACTGCCAACGCAGCAGCAGCATCACCAAATTACACGTTTAAATATATCAACATTTGCGCACCTGTGTTCATGAGCGGTAATGCACGTTCTAAACGGACGTCTCAAGCCAGAAGCCGACGTGAGAATGTCGCTCGTGAACAGCAGAGGGTGCCAGTTTCTCTCTGCAGCTCATCAATAGCACTGCCATCACCGTCACCACCGCTAAAACCACCGCCACCACCACCACGATATCCATCACGGTCACAACCACAATCCTCCAGCACCGTGGGCCCCGCTGCGGTTGCACCGCCTGCACACTCAAAAGCTGCGCCACTATTACCACCATCACAACCTCCACAACTACCACCCTGTTAAGTCCTCCTACGAATACGACTTCTATCAAAAGACAAAGATCCCCTGTATAGCCTTAGCAGACTTGGGGAAAGTGCTGTGAGCGAGCAACTATGAAGGCCGGCACGGTACACGAGGGGGTGGGTGGTCAACACCACGCCCGACCGCCTTTGTCTCCCAAGTGGCGATGTTTACACACCACATCAGGTCTTCATTTGAGGCTGAGTCGACCTTGGGGAGGCCCAGGACCGGTTCAGATAATGATCACTGGTGTTAGCCGTGAACAGGAATCAAACTCGGGTCGCTGGGTTCGTAACGCAGCGTGCTAACCGCTACAATGCTCCCCACTACTACTACCATCACCACGATTACAACCGCTGCCATCGCCACACTCACAAAAACCACAACCACTATTACCTCCACAACCACGACGTTCTTCACTAACACCACAAACATTACCACCACGACTACTATCACCATCACCTCCACATCTACCACCCTTTCTAGATTTGAAGCTTTCGTGACTGCAAGGATCCATACTCTTTGGTTCTATTTGGTAAAGTCACGTAGGTAAAAAAATAAAACAACAAAAATCACGACGTTTCGGCCACAACACAAGCGGCCTTCATCAGGTGAAGGGACCAGACTGTCTCGAAGACTGCACTGGAGTGAAACAGAGCCAAGTTCAGACTACGACCTTTAAGCTGTGTGAGAGGGATTAAGGTGCCTCGACAAAGGAATTAGCATAAAAAATTAGCATTTGATTGGCGGACTTAGCATGATGAAAGGTGTAGCACGCGGCAGTGCACCTTTAAGCTGTGTGAGAGGGATTAAGGTGCCTCGACAACAGAATTAGCGTAAAAAATAGCATTTGATTGGCGGACTTAGCATGATGAAAGGTGTAGCACACGGCAGTGCACCTTTAAGCTGTGTGAGAGGGATTAAGGTGCCTTGACAAAGGAATTAGCGTAAAAATTAGCATTTGATTGGTGGACTTAGCATGATGAAAGGTGTAGCACACGGCAGTGCACCAAGATCATCACAAGTTCGACCTCCCTAATTGAACCAACTAAACGTCCCTCCCTAAAACCTTCTGCTGCAAGACCCCCTAGATTCTATGGTCTTCCAAAGATTCATAAAGAAGGCACTCCACTACGACCCATCGTATCCACGATCAACTCCCCTACCTATAAGCTAGCACGTTTTCTGTCGGATACCTTGCTACCTTTCACTGGCAAGACCGCCTCAGCAGTACTTAACTCAACCCAATTGGTTTCTATGGTCAAAGACGTTGTACTGTCCCCTGACGATATCCTCGTCAGCTTCGATGTGGTCTCCTTGTTCACCAAGGTCCCGGTACCTGATACCATTGATATAATTGAAAATTTGGTACAACATGGACTAGACCCCGAGGTACCTACGCTGGTCAGGCACTGCCTCACCAACACCTACTTCACTTGGAATGGTTCCTTCTACAAGCAAAATGAGGGTACTCCCATGGGTTCCCCTTTGTCACCAGTGATAGCCAATATTTTCATGGAGAAATTTGAATCGGACGTCATCCAGACTTCCACCCTCAGACCTTCCCTGTGGAAGAGATATGTGGATGACACTTTCGTCATTTGGCCACATGGCCTCCCAGCTCTGAACCTTTTCCTACACCACATAAATTCCAGACATCCCGCCATCAAATTCAAAATGGCAAGCTACCATTCTTGGATGTTCTGTTTGAGAGGAGACCTGATGGCTCATTGGGGCATTCTGTCTACAGGAAACCCACCGACACAGATTCCTACTTGAAGCCTGATTCCCATCACCACCCAGTCCAAAATAATTCTCTCATCAAAACATTATACCATAGGACTCATTGCATTTCGGACCAACACCACCTGACCAGTGAATTAAAACATGTACACCTGGCCCTCAAAAGGAATGGATACTCTGACCGTACCATCTGCCAAGCTGTTTCTCCCTCCATACAGAAACAACCACTTGATACTCCGGTCAAAACCATCACACTACCATATATAGCAGGCGTTACTAAAAAGATTTCCAAAATTCTAAACAAACACAAGATCCAGGTCCGGTTCAATACAGTACATAAAATTCGTGATCTGATCCCATCCGTGAAGGATGTCATTCCTGACTTAGAGTACCCCGGGGTTTACAAATTGAGTTGTACCTGCGGTGATTGCTATATCGGGGAGACGAAGCGACATGTCTCTGACCGAATTCGCGAGCACAAATCAGATTTTAAACACGGCAGAACGAATTCTTCTGCCGTAGCTGATCACTGTTACAACGCTGTGGGTGATCACGATATAATTTTCTCCGATACCAAGGTTCTTTGCAAACCCACGGGTTTTTATCAGAGATTTGTTCACGAGGCAATTCAGATTTACAAACACAGACACAATTTCAACCGAGAAGATGGTTTCAAATTAAGCAACCATTGGAAAGATGTTCTAAATCGAACCAAACATTAAACTAATTTTCATTGGTACAGTATATTTTTTCAAGTAGTGGTACCCCAAACTTTCGCAGCACAGGCGGGTGCACTGCCGGTGCCGATCACTGTGCTACACCTTTCATCATGATTAGTCCGCCAATCAAATGCTCATTTTTACGCTAATTCCTTTGTCAAGGCACCTTAATCCCTCTCACACAGCTTAAAGGTGCACTGCCGCGTGCTACACCTTTCATAATGCTAAGTCCGCCAATCAAATGCTAATTTTTTATGCTAATTCCTTTGTCGAGGCACCTTAATCCCTTTCACACAGCTTAAAGGTTGTAGTCTGAGCTTGGCTCTGTTTCACTCCAGCGCAGTCTTCGAGACAGTCTGGTCCCTTCACCTGATGAAGGCCGCTTGTGTTGTGGCCGAAACGTCGTGATTTTTGTTGTTTAATTTTTTTACCTACGTGACTTTACCGAATAGAACCAAAGAGTATCTACCACCCTGCTGAAGCACATCTCTGGCATACAACAGGAGCTATTCACCACGAAGTGGTGGTGACAACACCATGGGGGTTGTGCCAGACAAGGTGCACTTTGAGCCCACAAGAGTGTGGAAGGCCAGCTGGCCAGGTCACTTCTGAAAGAGAGCTGTTTAGCTCATTGGGAGAGCAGATTTCAGATTTGATAACGCGCTGGGCGGTGACGCGAGCGACCGAGTTCGTAGGGTGTCGCTAACGTGCGGTTTATTGCTCGGGCTCTGTGGCTGCTCAGCCGCGAGACTGAAACCAGATCCCTGCCTGCAGATGAGATGGGGGAAGTGACGAATTGTTCGATATGAAAAGATAAATTAGAACAAAAATAAATATAGCGGCAGTGTTGTGCACAATCCGACAAATTGTGTTGAGTTACATTTCATGTAGTTGATGATTTCCTGAGAATTTGATCATGCTAACACACACACACGTGCAAAGACTAATGCGAATACCCGCCATTTGCCACAGTGACGGTGATGTCACCACAGCGCCTGTGCCAGGCCAAGTGCACTTTGAGGCCACGTGAAGTGTCGAAGGCGCGCTGACAGGATACCATGTGACAGACTCAGGTGCCATGGCTTGGCTGATGACTGGCAGATGCACCAGCTGTACCCCCTACTATGCCAACTTGGTGCATTTTTGCCCTCGGTGCTCCACTCATTGTTGTTGGGCAACTGCCTTCAAATGCCCAGTAGCGTCCTTCACGAGACTCCTCCATAGAGGCCGATCTTGACACCACTGGTGCCAGTCTTCGGCAAGTCCACTCAGATCCACATCCCCCTGTACCACA